ACACACACACACACACACACACACACACACACACACACACACACACATATTTTCATACAACAACGCGCAACAACTAATATTAATATTCCATATATTTCTAAATTCTTCTCAAATCTTCTTTAAACCCAGGAAGAACAAATATCTCACTTTATCTTTAAAATAACATTCCTTGCATCCTAAAACTTATAAAACTTGAATTCTAAATCAATGCATTCTCTCTGTAAACCTTATACTCCAGAACCTATCATATACCTTAAACTCATATCTTCCATAACTTCTGTGTGCACTAATAATATATGTAATTAATTAATTCTCTCTGCGAAATGATACGCCAGCTTTACACACCCGGCGAAGCGACAACTTTTTTGCAAAAATTAAATCGCTGTTAAAAAGTTTGAAGCCAAATTTCCCGAAACCGCTTTTCATCGCCCATATGTGTCTCCTACACCTCTATTTGCCTGCAAGTTACCAAAACGGGTCGCCGAGCCGCGATACTGGAACCCCCCAAACGACGACGGCGACCGGGCCAGGCCGATTGGCAATGTCTAGGCCTGTAATTAGGTTTGCGTTGGTGGTAACATCATTACTCGGTAAGCTTGCAATTTCCTCGTGGTCGCCGCCGCCGCCGCCGCCGCTTGTCGTCTCCAACCGGTTCCCTTCGTGGCGCTTCGCGGTTGCCACGAAAGCTGTTTGCTTCTGGTCTCTGGACCGAGAGCGATCGACCGACCACCGGCGACTCGGGTCTCGCTTGGATCCATGGGGGGAAAAATAACAGAGGGGGGGGGGGTCGAAGCGTGACGAGGTGTGCGATGGGTGGTGGATGAGCCCCCCATCTTCATTCGGATAAATTGTACCACCACTTTGTAATGGGGCGTTGCACGACGACGTACACGGAATTTCTGCCGACATAATGATCGGGCGTAATACAACCGTAACGAGATACCTCACATTGTGCTGTGTTAAACGCAGTAGGTGGTGTCGCGTAGGGGATTTTTGCCTCATTATCGAATCGTGCAGCTTGTTACAAGCTGACTGTAATCAATCATAATGACTATGCTTCTATATTGATATGTTATAAAAGATGCCTCGGTATCGCTAGTTATTAATTCTAATTCCTTGTCTAGAAATTATCCCACATTTATCCACTTACATATTCATCAATTGAGAAACGTGCCATTAAAAAAATAATACGATAGAGATCTGGAATACATTATATTCTAATAACAGCAAAATACTATGCAATAATAATAAAATGAATTAAAATTCGGGCGAACTTCGTCGCGATACGCGAATTTTGCGAGCACGTTTCTTCCCCGAAGGATTTTCCATTAAACTATTTTTCTTCGTTTGTCGCAGTGGAGTCGCGGTGTCTTGCGGAGAATGCAGCAGCAGCGGCACCAGCGATATCACAGAACCAGGGTCGCCGTGCAGCACCAGCAGCGACGAGGGGGTAGCCGCGGTACGCGGCACATCCGCCAGTCCGTTGCCGTCTCTACCCAAGCTGGCGCCGTCGTCGCAGCTCGGTACCAGGCCCCAATGGCCCTGGACCCCACCGTTGGCGGCGACCGCCTGCTCCACCACCGCATTCAAGAGGCTGAGGGGCGAACCTGAGGCTGGCGCTCTCCCGCGCTCCGGCGCCGCCGATCCCACCTCCAGGGGGGCCGTCAAGGGGAACGGAAAGATCACGGGCGGCCAACACCACCACGAGTCCCAGGGCAAGATCACGGAGTACTTTAAGACGCAGATTAAGCCGCAGCAGCCGAAGGTTGGTGTCTCACTCGAGATAGAAGCGAATAAATGTGTCAAGAAAAAACTGTATCCATGTATTTTGTGCGAAAAGACAAAGATGTCGGAGGCACAAATCCCTTGGCGGATTCTGGAGAGATCTTTTCGTAAAAAATGAGTTCTCGATTGCCCATGTGCCCAACCCACTGTCTCTTTATATTTTGAAAGAAATGTGAGCTTTGTAGTAAGGTTTACTTTTGAATGAGTCGCAGTCGGTATCTATGTTAGGTAGCCACTCGAACACGAAGGCATTGACAGATTTCGAATTCTAAGAGAGAGTTGTATGAGACTCTGGAGATTTTTCAATGTTTTTCAGGTTTCAAAAGCACAAATGGATGGATGATCAATCTTCATTTTATCCGAACTTCGGGAAAAATTTTATCTAAGGGTTGTAGAAATATATAAAGTTGATTGTTGCAAGATCAGCCTGTAACACTCATCGTTTGTTTAACGGTATTTAATTTACGGTACGTAGAAGTCAGATAAACCAAAGGAATAGTGGCGGAAGAAAGTGCTTCTTCGATGAAAACCAACGCAATGTAACAGAAGTGTTGAAGGAAGGTATCGACCGGCTTTACTTCGCGTGAACACTTCAGATACAGACTCATCTTATCAGCGAGCACGCGTTTATCGGATATTGAATTAGCCTTTTTTAACAAACCCGCGTGTAGGTCTTTCCAATAGGTTGATATTAATTCACGGAAATTGCTCTCGTCCTATCGATCGGCAATTTGACGCGGCACGGTCTCGATAATTCGCGTTTCACACCGCATCGCGCGTTTAACGCTAAATGTGTCTCGCTCATTTTATTATGATCAAATCTCGGCTAACATCGCGATTACAAGAAGCAGGAAGAGAAGTAAGACAAGTTATTCGAAATATTTGTCGAATTTTTTGTCCGGTATACGACTATTTCAATGTTGCTATTATCTGCATTATACTGCAGTAATCTCTTTTTAGACCGGTTCTACAATCAGTCGTATGCCGGAATTGGATGTCGGAACGCAGCCGATGGTCCAATAAGAGAATTTTTTGAAAACAAATTTCTTCATTGGACCATCGGCTACGTTCCGACGGTTCCGACATACGACTGATTGTAGACCGGCCCTTAGCAAACATATATTTCTTTCAATGTTACTGAGATATTTCCTGGAAAATATTGAGGACGTCATACATCATATTTGAACAGTATCTATATTTGCTATCTCCCTACTTATTTAATGTGGACGTTAACGAAAAAGTTACTTTATTTTTATCTCTTTTGGGAAATGCCAAGTTAATGTTTGATTATTTTCGATATGATATTCTCGCACAGTATGCCTAAATAAATAGTACAATAGTACTGAAATTTTACTGTTATGTTTCTATTGACAGATAAAGAAAACGAACGAAATGGTGCTGGTAGCGAAGAGCTCGTCGGAATTTCGAAGGCCACCCGTGGTGCAGAGGAACAAGGGCGGCCTTGCTAAATACTTGGGCACCGTGTCGCCCAATGCGAACCAGAATACTATGACCAACGAGCCCTGGGAAGTGAGGACGTTGACGTCGACAAACACGAAAAAGGTACCGGTGGTCATCGTGCCGAGGGCCAACGGTAAGATAGACAAGAAGCTGCCGAAGTCGCTGCCAATTCTGCCAATCTCGAACGACGTGCTGAAAAATCTGCCCAAGATCTCACCTCTTAGGTAAAGATATTGGATTTCGTGTCCGCAGCACGCCCTAACGCAATAATGCTGATTGATTAGCTAGTCAATTTAAAGATGTATGGTAGCACTTCTCTAGTCAAATGACCATCCGCGGCCCTGTTCTGTAACTCTAACGACAGTATCGTTATATTGTCGTTAGAGTTACAGACATTATCGGGCTCTAACGACATTATCGTTATATTGTCGTGTAGCATTTTTACCATATATCTGCGCAACGGCAATACAGCGATAACGACACTGTATGTCGTTAAGAGTTGCAGAATCAGGGCACTGCATTCGATAAATTTTAAGACAGCAAAATAATTGTTATTAAATTACAGAATGGTTTCTCAGCGTAAGTATCATTTTTATTTTCAGTTTGTTATTCATTTCTGAATGAATTACTAATTTTGAAATAGCTAATTTTGAAGAAATTAATTTATAAAATAAAGTACAGAAGCTCTCTTGATTTCATTACTAATCTATAAAACACAAAATTCGTATTTTGGATTATTTTTTTTATCGCCAGAATTAGGAACTGGGGCTGTTACTCTTCGACAGCTTCGAAGTTAACTTTGAACTTTCGAAGTTTAGGGCACGTTCCACTTAACGCCCGCAACGTTCTTAGAATCATTTCATCCTTGTTTTTTTTGTCAAATGTTAAATAAAGACAAATAATGCTCACGTTGCGGGCCTTAAGTGGAATGCATCTTTAACCCTTAAATGCCACCCGGGGTCCAGCGGATCCCAGACCCTTTAGAATAATATATTTTCAAATGTTTCCCCCAAAAATGGAGCTCATGCTCCCATTGATGATAGTTGAGTGATTGACCTACCCGGTTGTACACTTAGCAGTACTCAGTTTACTTAATTTTTTATACTATGTTGAAATTGAAATTTTAACAATATAAGCATTTTATTCTCTTTTCTAAGCCTTGAATAACATTGAACATAATTTTCATAACTAAATATCAAAAAATCAATGAGTAAGGAGACATTTTTCATGCTGGGGTCTTTTAGACTCCATGTGTCATTTACGAGATTCTTGAGAGGTGTGGCATTTAAGGGTTAAGGTAAATGTACCAATGCCTGGATACATACCTATGTCTGGACATTTTTATCATTTTAATCCTTAAATAAGTTATAACGCGAATTAAAATCAAAGAATCAAAGACAAAAATATTTTGCGTGTATTATAATTTTATCTTTAATTTTAATTCGCGTTATATTTATTTAAAAACTAAAATGATAAAGGTGTCCAGACATAGATTATAAGTGTTCCGGCATTGGTACATTTACTTTAAGGTGTTTTCGAAGCTTCGAAAAATATATTTGCGACATAAGCGACATAATTGCAACATTAGAAATTTCATTCAGATTTTGTCATATAATTTTATAAATGTGTGCTTATTGTGGTACTATTACTATTACACTAAATTAATAATTGTGTAATTTTGATTCTTCGAAGCTTCGAAACTTCGATTTTCGAAGATTTTAATGTCGAAGTTCGAATATCGAAGCCTTCGAAGCAAATCACCAGCCCTGTTAGGAACATTCAATGTGTTTAATACATTATTTTATACGCATATTAATAAATATCGGCATTACTTTAACTCTGAAAAAAGAGTTATCCCAGAGAGCACGCATGTCCAAAATCGGAACACATAAGACGTTTAAAAGACATCTTTTAGACATCTTTTAAACGTCTTACGAAATGATGGCTAAAAGACGTCTTAAAGACGTCTTGTGTCCCGATTTTGGACCTAATGTGCTGTTTAGGATATTGTTGCAAAACCTACATTATATTATGAAATTTGGCAACATCGCTCTAAACAGTCAAATTGGTCATCCTGGCTTATAATCGCCACTGCATTCATATTTGAGTTAAGACTTCTGGGTACTCGCCACGGCTATGTTAGATCGTGACGTCAGAGACGAGAAATGACACGCTAAGAATTCTTGCGTGCCATTTTTAAATAAAAAGATATTTGGATGGAAAAACACTTCTGATTGCTTTAACACACTTATAAAATATTCCGAAAACTATCCTTTTTCCTTGACATGCGCCTGCGCATAAGCCTGTATGAGAGGCTTCGTATTACATTCATTTTATGATTTTTACTGTTTGACTATCAAAAGAAAAGGATAGTTTTCGGAATATTTTATAAGTGTGTGAAAGCGATCAGAAATGTTTTTTTATCCAAATATTTTTTTATTTAAAAGTGGGATGCAAGAATTCTCAGCGTGTCATTTCTCATCTCCGATGTCACGATCTAACATGGCCACGATGAGTACCCAGGAGCCTTAACAAAGCATAGGAAAACGCAAATAAAAGTAAGAAAACTGAAAAGTATTAAAAAAAAGTATGGAAAATTATAATGAATCTTCTCCGTAGAGAAGTTAGAAGGAAGATTTACTACTAAAGAACAATGATTTTTCATTCTTATTGGTACAAGAAATATTTCTTGTACCAATAAAAGGTGAGATATAAATGATTGGTGTATGCATTGTCCATGGATTTTAATAAAAATTGAGTATAAAAATTTCCAAAATATTATTTTCTAATATAAAAATTTTCTTTATTAATAATAATTTGGAAAAAATCAGAATAAGAAAAATATATAATTCAAAATTAATTTAAATTTTTATCGTTACCTTATACTGTCATCTCAAATTTTTTAAAGGGCCTCTATCTATTAATAAGATTATTTGATATTTTTTTTTTTTTTTTCTTCTTTCAATTTTAGAAGTTTATAGAAAAAATAGTTTTACAAAACAAACTAATTTTGGAGGCTGTACACTTATATTATACGCGTTTTATTCGTTGCCAAGTTTCAGAACATCAATAGGAATGAGATTTTCTCAAGTTCCAATATTAAAGATCAATTTTTTTCTAAATTATGTGGTGAATTAATTATATTTTACGGTTTATGACGTCGTTGACAATTCCAGATTACATTAATATATTTTCTCTTGTTAGTTTGAGATATTGTAATAGATGAACGGTCAATGTGTGCACTGTTCGCTATAAGACTACGTCTTACAAAGTTATATTTCATAATAATTTTCTTGAAAACGCTACAGTAAATTGACTTCGAGTTTCACATGTAGAAACAAACTACATTAATGAATATCTCAGCAAAATGTTATGACAATGGTGTTATCTTTGAACTTCTGACATACATCTTTAACTATCTAGTCTTTTGCTATTAGATGCATATTGAGAAAAAGTTTCCCAGGCAACATGCGTGTCTAAAAGATGTCTCAAAGACGTGTTTCGGACCTCCTTAAAAGATATCTTAAAAACGTCTTCAAAGCGTCTCCAAGACTTTCCGTGAAGCTCGGATTTATAAATTAATTCACCAAACATGTAATTTTTTTAGTCGAAAGGAATGGAACACTCTGGTAAGTAAAGGCTGTTTTCTGGTTAATAACTTTTTCTTTTTTTTTTTTTTAAACAGGTTAACTTCGGACGCGAGTATTAATTCGACTAAGGGCAACTCCCCGCCGGCTACTGCCGCCTCGCCACTACTGGACGAACCGTTGGACTTCAAGGCAATCTTGGCGGCGAAGCCGCATGTGAATGAGAACAACAACCTGACGAACAGCTGTGGAGGTATCCTGGGTGCGTTAAGGTCGCAGAGCGGCCACGACTCTCCCATTTCGAGGCTATTCTCGCCGTCGAAGGAGGACAGTAAGGGCGAGGATGGCCAATCGGCGCCAGTCGACGAAGACGATGTAGATGAGGAGGACTCCCGAGGCAGCGAATCGAAACCGTCGCCTATCCTCTCAGCACCTACTACCATTCGGTTTCCGGCACGAGCGCCCGAGAAGGATAGACCGCAGGCTACTGACAGCGGGATTTGTCGTTGGGATAAGTGCGAAGCCAGCTTCGAGTCTGTGGGTGGTCTTTTAGAGCATCTACAGGTACGTGAGAGAACATTTTTTACCGTAAATCTTTAACCTTCGCAGAAAATGCTGGAAAATCAATCAATAGAGTCTTGTATTTCTTACTCGAACAATCAACTTACTATTAATAATGTAAAATCTAACTTATGCAATTTGTATTTTTTATAGGCTGCACACATCAACACGCAAACTGGCGGCGACAATTTCGTCTGTCATTGGCAGGGATGCAAGGTGCAAGGTAGGACGTCATGTTCCCGGCGATGGTTAGAGAGACACGTTCTGTCTCACGGCGGTAACAAACCCTTTCGATGCATCGTCGACGGTTGCGGTTGCAGATTTAGCTCCCAGGTAACGTTGGTGTTTTCCTCGCATATCATTGATTTTTGTCCGGGAAAATATTTAAAACTAATCCATATTCATTTACAGACCGCCCTCTCAGGTAATGAGGGTTTTCCTCATATCATTGATTTTTGTCCAGGAAAATATTCAAAAACTAATCCACATTTATTTACAGACCGCCCTCGAGAGGCACGTGAATGGTCACTTCAATCAGTCGGAAACGAGCAGCAGTAACGGGAGACGTAGTTGCGAGAATGGCGGCAAGCTCGTTAGAAGAAATGGCAAGAAGCTTAGATATAGGCGGCAACCTTGGTCAGGTGAGTGTCTTTTCATTACGACTCCACATTGATTACAGATTTCTTCCATCACGGTATCTTTTTTGCAGCGAGACTTTTTGATTACTTTGACTCGGGAATAATGGAGGGTCTCCAGCACAGGCTACTGGAACTAGCGACATCGAGGACGCAAGGGCGACTAGCTGAGACGCCAGGAAACTCGATGGTACTAACTAGTCAAGTAAGAAATTTATTGTCGCATCATACGGCTAACATTGTAAAAAGCATTTACTTGATTTACTTCAATAAATTTCCTCTTCCAGGTTTTAGCGAGAAGAGTCGAATTGGACGGGAAGAGGAAGGTATTACTGCGGTGGTATCCTCAAGATATGTAAGTTTTTGTGTAAAAATAAACTTTAACTAGTTATACGCACGATATCCGAGAGACTCATGATTCATTCTTTTGTCGTTGCGTTTCTTACAGAGAACCGGACGAATGGGTATTAGAATCCGAAGTACAAAGTACGAAACACGTAGGTATTCGCAAAGCGGCTGCTAGTAACCCGGAACAAGTGAGTTTAGCTCTCTATCCCGCGATAAGCGGTCGCGCACCGCCGACGGCGCGAGCGAAGCAGCGCCGGAAGCCGGTAAAGGACTCGTGATAATGTCGGCCAATCGGCATACCAGAACTGACCTAACGAGCGCCGACACCTGAACCAGAGAAGAAGAACAGAGTGCTGCCGTTGACACGAGAGCACGACACAGTCTATAACGCTTCCTGGTTGGTGAAGACGAGGGCCGCGACGGTGCGACCTGAAATACCCGAACGTATCGAAAGAGACGGAGGCCGCTTTAGAAGATAATTTATCTGAAGATGAACGACCAATCCTTGTAGATCGATTAGGAAATAAGAATCGCAATGTCGAAGGAAATTGAGAGATAAATTCAGGATGACTCGAGTAGCAGACAGTAGCGATAAGATCAAGGGACACGTCTGAAGGATAAACAAAGGGGAACGCGATTATCCGTCCTCCGTTTTCGGGGACGAGAATATTGCTCAGCAATGAACATCTTCGTTATTATTTATCGATGGATACATCTACTAATCGCGCTAATTCTACGCGGATCTCTGCCACGAGTACCTCGCATATTTCGACGCTCGTCGGCTTCGGAAGCGCTAAGTCTGGGCCTCGAAAGTGCCTCACTGTGGATACGTTTTGTACCGATATACTGCCGATCAAGATCCCAGAGATAGACGCGCGGGGGAAGCGGCAGGAACGGTAGACAAAGACAAAAAGCGAAAAAAAAAAAGAAAGCAGTAAAGAGCTTTTGCGTATTTGGTTTTGCCAAAGGAAACAGAGGGAGTGCACAGACAAAATATTTAAGCGGTAGTTAACAATTTATAAGGAGATAATCACTCTGGTGGCCTTAAGACTCAATTAATATCTAACATCGGCCCCTTGGCACTTCCGGGAACTGATGGTCTTTGCGATCTCCGACGATGCTTCGAGAGAAAGGTAAAAGAAGAGAGAAGATACGTCTACCTCGATTTACAACTCGGTAGAAACTCGCGTCGGTCGTCGTCATGACATGAAATGGGACACGAAGAGGAAGAGACGCGGGAAGAAAGAAGAGGATCGTGGACAGCGCGAAGCGGGCGCAGAAGACTGTATCGGGATTGTATGAGAGACTTAGAGAAAATCGGGGAAGGGCGGGTTTAGGCTGTTAGGTGAGGATGCAAGACAGTACGGATGAAAGCGTGCATGTGTGTGTGTAAGAGAGACCGAGTGATAATGCTCCGAATTCGCCGTTATTTCCCTGAATGGGGTTGACAGTCTCCCAGGCTTGAAAAGCTCGGCACGAAATTGAAAGATTGCGGAATAATCGGACGACACGTACGCCACCCGAGGTTTCTAACGAGGATTGTTTCTCTTCGTTCTTCGTAGAGATGGAACGGAGAGGCGATGTACAAAAAAACAAAATTAAGGAAATGATAGTGTTCTCAGGGCCCGAGGCATGCCCGAGCCAGCTTTTTGTAGAGAGAGGCGCACGGCATCGAGCTTGCCTCGTTTCCGTGCCTGAAACGTGTTTTCGTGTACTTCATCATCGCGTTACTTTTATCTTTCTGCTGAGTCTCGCGCAGCGTGTTAACGTACGCTCGTCGCACGAGAGAGCACAAAATTTAATCGAGTGCTAAGATGAAGAAAACTGGGAGTAGTTAACATGCTGCGCGACCGCAACCGATGAGCTGTTACCCTCAAAAGGGGTAAATTACGTAGGCTGTGTTACATTTCCCACGACTTGTTAAGCGAAGAATGTTATAAAGGGAGTGAACAAAGAGCAAGACGTGCACGCGTCGCCGCTCCCGCGCGTACATAGTTTATCGCGGTTGTAAAAAAAAGATAAATTTTGCGACCATGAATGCTTGTGAACGATCGCGGAGCAGCAACGCCGCGTGCATGTACATGCGTAGCAAATAGAACTTCATGTAAATTAAGACTCGCGAAGGAGAAGAATATACGTCGTGTCGTGTGTGTTGAATGATTGAAAGTGCGTTGAATGAGAAATTGATGAGACGACTGTGTGAGAAAATAGGAATGGATGAGTAGATAAAATGTGAATGAAGGATGGAGAGAGAGAGAGAGTTGGAGAGAGAAATGGAGACCGTATGTGACACACAGACAGACAAAGACGGTACGTCATTTACACACCAGCTAAGAAACACTGCCAATATAACTGTAATTAAGAGCTCTACGACATAATTAATCAATTAATTATTCTTACTATTATTATAAAGTATGATTGTAAGTGTATAACCGAATAGATCTCTAGCTGACGCGCGAGGATGCATGTAACAAGAAGCGCGGCCATTCCGATAACGCGTCGTCGTCACGTCCGTCCCATGGGACATGATATTTTAATGAATGACAATTTACTTTTTCTCAAAACTGCCCGCGTGTGAAGGGGGGGTGTTCCGTGCGCGCGGCGTGCGCGGCGCGTCGCGAACCGCGAGGCCGCGAAGTTGTAAATGTAAATACTTAGTTGAAATTATCGTAACGAAACGGCATATTACACGAAAACCCTGTACTCGCGCAGCCGCGGGCTTGTTACTCGTCGCCGTTGAGGCAAGCCACTCGCGAGTACGCGAAAGCTATCTAAAAAGAAGATATATCTCTCTGTATCCGTTGATTTTCGAGCACAGCGTCCCCGCGAGGGCGGCACGCATACGGCGGTGGATTTCCTTCCTTCCTTCCTTTTGAAGGGACCGAAAGATCAACACCGGATAATATAAACGCGTCACTGCCAGAATCACGCACTGCCAGCCCCGTCGTTCTAACGGCGCGCCTCTAACGTAGTATCTCTCTCTATTGCACGAGCATATATTCGTTCATAACGTGCTTCTAAGAAACTCGTCGTCGGCTCTTTTCTCTTTATACGTACATTCATACACACACATATATACACACACGGCCTAGCCGCAGCCACTGTTCCCGGATTTGTACATCCTTCGAGTCTATATCGCCGTTCCTAAAGAAAGTCATTTACATAACGCTTTGCAAGTTAATTTGAAAATTATGCCGTAAGCTGAATTTAATTTTTACGTTTGGACGATATCCGTAAACTTAGGACAATTAATTATTCGCGCCCTGAACCTGTGTTCTAAATCTAAATGGAGTGATGATTTATTTTTAGCTTTAGAAAAGTAATTATTTAATTTTTATAGTTTTCTTTAAAACCGGCGATATTCTCTCCGAGCGCTCATGTATCGCGCACTGCCAAATTTCGTCGTGCACGTGATCTAAGGCACTGCCAGTGAGACATAATATACAGAACAGGACGAGGGTGAAAAGAGATATCACGCGTTCTGCTGGGGAGTCCTGTTTACTCGCGTTTCGAATCGATTCAAAGTTTTATCGGGACGACTCCTCAATGCCATACGATGTTTCGTGAGGAATCGTTCATGTGTTCTTCGTGATCCCGCTTTCGGGCCGAAACACGATAAGATATAAAAGTTTAAGGAGCGAAGAAGAGTTGTTATAAGAGTAATATCAATATATCAAGATGTACAAATAACACAAAAATCGAGATACGTTGCTTAAAAAATGCTCGAAAAATAAGGGTATCTTTGTGACGTATTTTAAACGTTTGCGTTAGTTTCGAGTGAAGTGAAAATTGTATATTTAATCCTTGCTTCTCTTCGACATCCGCATTTCATATCTCATTGTGTTTCGATCATTCATACGTTCATCGTCTAACTTTTGTTCTTTTGTGGCGCGATTATTTCTCCTTTCGACCGTTGTTTCTATCATTTCACCTTGCCAATTTTCTGTCACACGATCTCTGCTCATTGTAAAACGGATTGTCGTCAGTCAAGATTGTATCGATTAGGTAAGGGACCAATCTTTTACGTACGTGAAAACTTATCTGCCATTTCTGGCAACAAATAATCGTTTCACGGAACATGTCTTTCTTTGCAACCGACCAATTAGATCGATCGTACTTCACGACTCTTTAGTTGATATTTAGATATAATTTATTTAGAGAGAGAGAAAAAAGAGCTGAGCAGAGGTTCCGTTAGTTATTAAGTTCTTATTCTTTAAAAAAAAAAAAATCATTTTTGTAGTATTAGCGTAAAGGTGAGACGATAGAAAGAACTCTCGGTTTATCTGATCGCGCTTGATCTCGTGGAATGGAAGAACCGCGACAAATGGTAAAAAGAGTGAGACACGGAGAGGAATGCACTCTTCGAAGGTCCTTCCAGTTATATTATCTACTTCTCGCGAATGTAAAATTAAATTCGAGCGGATCGGCAATACGAGAATAACATAAAAGTACAATAAAGGAATTTTAGTTTCGTGGTAATTTTTCCGGACGAGCTCGGTTTGATACCCTAGCGATCCTGTTTACGATAAGTTTATTCGAGATTGCGAATATGTTTAGGACGCTCTTGTATAATTATGCTTTGTATAATTATGTAATTGGCGAGTCTAATTCCGATTAAGTATTTTCTCATACGTTACGTTCTCTCGTTTTTTCCCCTTCTACTAATCGCGGATAAGAGTCGCACCTGTGTTTATTGTCGCTCGCCAAGAAAACGAACCGATTACATTTAGCTAAAACAATTTCTTTACGCTGTCGCGTGACGGCCGAATTTCTTAGCACGTCCGAATCGACGGCGGTGAATAAATTTTTCTCTGTAAACTGTGAAGAATATTGAAAAATACACGTGGCCTAGCCACACACATACACACACGCGTAACTGTAGCATTTCGTGTATTTACCATCGTTCGTATCGGCCTGCTGACAATTCTAAATTATCGTTGTAGAATCAATGTCGATTTTTTTATAATAATGATAATAAAGAGACGGAAGGCTGAAAGAGAACTGGGGGGGGGGGGGGGGGCACGCGTAAAACGATTTGTATACGTTTTTCTAGTGCACGAAGTCTGACCTGAACGGAAATCATCTCATTTCTATGATTTCTGGTGTTCTTTTTTTTACACGTTTCGTGCGGGTTTTTTAAAAATAGAATTATATAAATTATAAATCAATTCACGCGATGCTGCGCAATGCACTAAATAATACGGGCGTACGTTTAAGAGAAACATAAAGTGTTCTCTAATTAGGTAGTTAATTAGGTCTGTATTAGCATTGGAAAAAAGAGCGGAAAATATAGTAAAGCGAAATATGCGAACACTTATTCTTTTTTTTTCCTATCGGGTTTTTGGAAAGAACTTTGCGGAACACACAGACATACACATACACAACATAAATATATACGTCGTAGATTTACTTCTTTTGAACGGTGTGTGCGAGAACGTGAGAAAGAGAGAGAAAGAGAGAGTGAGAGATTAGCTGTAATTAATATAGGACAAAAAATGATGGGCACGCGAAAGGAAAAGAATGAAAGGGATGAATGAAAGAGGAGGAATGCGAGAGTATGGAGGGGTACAGGATTTCTGTGGGCGTCGTATTTTTGCAAAAATTAGAAGAAGAAAGCGCAAATGAAAGCAATACGAAAGAAATTTTAACTGT